TATTCAAGTACACATAATAGTATTCGAGTACACATAATAGTATTCAAGTACACATAATAGTATACGAGTAGACATAATAGTGTACGAATACACATAATAGTATTCAAGTACACATAATAGTATTCGAGTACACATAATAGTATTCAAGTACACATAATAGTATACGAGTAGACATAATAGTATACGAGTAGACATAATAGTATTCGAGTATACATTATAGTATTCTAGTATACATAATAGTATTCGAGTATACATAATAGTATTCAAGTACACATAATAGTATACGAGTAGACATCATAGTATTCAAGTACATATTACGTGATATACAAGAAAATGATAAAATACATATGTAGAACCTGTGAGCCTTGGGTGCTAACTTCCCACATAACAAGGTTGTTTGACGTCAGTAAAGGCATACGGTCGTAAAACTCCTGCACAAACAGATCCGCATAGGTGGACAATTTTTCATGTAAATATGTATATATTAGTTTCAGTTGTTCAAGCAAAGCATTTGGCAGGGGGGGGGGGTCGTAACCTCTTGTGGTGAGAACCAGTGTGACTGGCCTGCCAACGGGGTGCTAAGGATTTCATTGGAAAAGTTATCAGTTACATCCGTTAATGTAATTTCGTTTTACATACCCGTAAATCAATAATCACATATGTGTTGCAAACCAACTTGTAACTTTTGATATAATATTCAGGTTAATGATGCGCTGCATAAGATGAGGCATTTTGATATTCTTGATTTATTGTACGATTGAATGCGATTTTAACACGCCACATACATAGAAGCCAACCATGTTTATATGGATACTGTCTATCAACAGCTTACATGTTAGCAAGACTGTGTCCGTGTTATCAGGAAACACTGAAGTTCTATCTGGTCGCTTACACGCAAGACAATCATGTTCACTATCTGTTGGTAGCTTATATGTAAGCCAGGCTATTCATATGGAAGCCATGAACAATGTGTCTTTGTACCATATTATTCGCATGGTTTTGTGAATGGCTTTGTTTTTGTAAAGCAATCTGCGATTGATAGCCAGCAGTGCTGAACTGAAAGCGCCACCATTTGAGTTACAAATGTGCGGCCAAACAAGAGAACATAAAAACAAAAATGTCGTTTATCTTGACGTGCCACGTGACTTTTTGATGCTGCACTTTATACAGCAAACGATTGGTTTAACCTTAACTACAACTTCTACACATCGGAGAGGATTAGTTCGATGACATGACCAGAGTGCAAAGTGTTATGCGCATATATTAGCGTCTGTCCAGTTTACAGCAATTGACATAAAACAGCGCATTCCGATCAACCATAGTAGTTGCTGCCAATACACAGTGTTCACTGCTTAACCACCTTTGCTATACATCGGAAAACAACTATTATACTAAGACCAATGGATGAGACGTCGCTAGATGAACGCTCTGCAACATCACAGGAGAATGCAACTACAGCGATCACGAACGAGGAAGAAGCGGCGGATGATGCTCCGCTACTCTGTGGTTGGTTCATGTTTCGACCGAACTCCTTCCAGAAGGTAAACACAATCTCATGGCTGGTGACAATTATGAGTTTATTGTGTTTCGCACAAGGTATGGTCGTCAGTGGTCTCATACCGGTTGCTCTGACTTCCATCGAAGAACGTTTTTTTCTCACCAGTACTCAGCTGGGTATTATAGTTGCTATGTATGATTTCACTGTCATGGTTGTCATCCTTTTTGTTTCTTATATACTCGCTGAAAAAAACAAACCACGATGGTTTGGAGTGTTTACGGTGGTATTAGCGATAGGTACATGTATGTGGACATTGCCTCATTTTCTATCCCCACCTTATGATCCGACTGGCGCCGAGGAAGGATATTACCCGTTATGCCGCCGTTCGAGCAACGTGACAGAAGATTGTGATGATGAGTGGGATTCTTTATCAAATTTTTTCTATGTGTTTATACTTGCTCAAATATGTATCGGTATTGGTGCATCACCCATTTATACTGTTGGGTATGCATGGGTCGATGAAAACACAACACACGCAAAAAGTGGGTGGTATATGGGTGAGTAATTAGCATTCTATTCTATTCTATTCTATATTTCATTCCTTATT